TAGTCTTTAATGAATCTGAGATGCCATGTCTAAAACAGAAAACCGAAGAAACTAACAAATCTGAAATTGAGAAGAGTATTCAGACTGAGGTGAAGCTGACTAGGCTAAATTCACCTACACCTGGGAATGACGAAAATGACCCTATACATCATGAAAATGAAAATGAAATTGAAATTGAACCTGAACTTGAAGAGGTGACTGAACTTCAAGATAACATTGAACCAGTTGAAGTTGAACATTTTAATGATCAGCCACCTAATCAAGATTATCAGCTTACTAGGGATCGGGGGAGGAGGCAAATCAGGCCAAATCCTAGATATGAATCCCTAAACTTGACTGATTTTTTCTTGGTTTCAGGTGAAGCCCTTGAACAGATAGAACCTGCTAGTTATGAAGAAGCTGTTAATGGAAAATGTTCTGAAAGTTGGCTAAAAGTTATGCGGGAAGAAATGGAATCTCTAATGGAGAATAAAACTTGGAAGTTAGTTAACAAACCTAAGGATCATAGGATAGTTCAATGTAAGTGGATTTACAAATTGAAAGAAGGAAATAATCCTAGTGATCCTCCTAGGTATAAGGCCAGATTAGTGGCGAAAGGGTTCACTCAAAAGGAGGGGGTTGATTACAATGAGATATTCTCTCCTGTGATAAAGTACAAAACAATCAGACTGGTTCTTGCATTGGTTGTTCAGTACAAATGGGAACTGGAACAACTAGATGTCAAGACTGCTTTCCTACATGGGAAATTGGAAGAGAATATTTACATGAGTCAGCCTCAAGGTTTTGAGGTGAAAGGTAAAACTAACTGTGTGTGCAAATTAAAAAGATCTCTGTATGGGCTTAAACAAAGCCCTAGACAGTGGTACATAAGGTTCGATACCTATGTTCTGAAGATAGGTTTTAAAAGGAGTGAATATGATGCATGCCTGTACTATAATGATAGTAAGGAGGGCTGTGAGGTCTACTTGTTGCTGTATGTAGATGACATGCTTCTAGCAAGTTCAAGTAAGACTGAAATCACTAAGATGAAGAACCTTTTAAAATCAGAATTTGATATGAAAGATTTGGGGAGTGCTAAGAAGATTTTGGGGATGGTTATAAAGAGAGATAGGGCTGAAAATAGACTAGTCATTTCCCAAGAAGCCTATCTAAACAAAGTCACAACCAAATTTGGTATGAATGGATCAAAATCTGTGAACGTTCCCTTAGCAGCTCATATGAATCTTTC